AACTCATTAAATACCGTTTAGTATCTGAAATATTTAAAAATAAGTCAGAAAACTACTAATTGTGACAAGCTTAGGGAGAGAGATTTGGGGTACTTAAGTGTGTTTCATACTTAAAATAATAAATAATTAAACCTTAAAATATTGAGCACTTGTAAGGACAATAATATTTTAGATAACACATTTATTAGAACTTCGTTAAGCCCATAATTGTAGAGACAACAACTGCGTGACTAGGAATAACCCATAATTTTGAAATGACCCACTTGTTTTACGAGTTTTAAATTCGTTCAAACAAAATCTCCAATTTTGTTTTAAAGGTAAAAAAAAACACACATCTAGTGGTTGAGTTAAATGTATTGCATTTTTGGGTAAACATACAAGATCAATACCAGAACCCTCACACTGTTGTATTACTTCAGGATTAAAATGAGATGCAAGGTTGTCTCCTATTAATACTTTTCGCCCATTTAAACGGTTTGCGTGAGGCAAAAATAAAGTGAAAAACCATTCTTTGAATGTAATACCATCCATCCATCCGTGTGATGTACAATTATATCTGGTTCCTTTTGAGCAGCAAGGACTTTCACAGCATGGAGATCCTTTGGGTCCTTCATTAGTTCAAACTCCCACAAATTTTTAGACTTATAAATGATATATGGTGGTAATAGAATACCACTTGCTGACCCACATACCATTATTGTGGTGGCACTTTTAGAGTGGTTTTGAACTTGTACGGGATATTTTGTACCACGCTTGAATAAAAATTTTTTTTTACCTGGGTCATCCTGGAGGTTGGTCTCATCGTAATTGAAAATATTATCAACAGGTATATCTGTTAGTACTGAAGACAAATTATCAAAATATGAATTTATTGTAGAAGGGGAGACTTCAGCGTGACATCGAGAAATGTTTGTAGTGATTCTTTGAGTCAGTGTATTGTGTCTGTTTAACAAACTCCTTGCCCAATCATCACCAGGGAGGTTATCCTTAAATGTATGAACTATTATCCCTCTTTTGTCTAGTGATGTTTTTGCGATTAATCTAATACAAGATAATTTTAATTAATTTCAAGACTAATTGTAATATAGGCAAACTGTGTACATTTACCTTAAATCCATTAAAGTTAAAGAGAATCCCCAATCACCACATTTTGATACAGCAGCTATCATATTTTTTCATCCTCACCACTAAATATTTCCTGTCCTCCAGGTTTTTTTTCCATGTTTCCCATTAAAACGATTGTACAATGTGCCATACGGAATTTTATAAATTTTACTTGTTCTTAAAATTGAAAGTTCCCCATCAGCAACTTTTTGAAGAGCTTCTTCCCCAACTTCATCTGTCCTATTGGCATATGGGCGACTGCCCACTTTTTTTTTGTATGCACGAACCACTAAAATAATTTAAATACATGAAATATAAACATAAATATGACTATCAAAGTCGCCCCAACAATACTATCAATGTCACCCTACGACACTTAATTGTTTGCAACATAATGAACGAAAATCGTATAACATAGTATGATTTGAATCATGATGATATGTATATATAAATTAACTTACAAAATTATAATTAAATAACATTTGTACTTACTTTGCGCAGCTAATTTTAACACGTTGTTATTTTACATTTAAAATAACGTTGAGATTGAAGATAACACACGTTTCAAATAATTGATGATAAATCGTATCATAACCGTTATCATTATAAGACTTTTTTTTTTTTTTAAAACAAAAACCCTCGGCAGCAAGGCCATTGGGATATATAATATATTATAATAATGTTACTACATGTTATGTATTCGAAAACAAAACAAAAAACAAAAAAAAAAGACAAAAGAATAAAAAATAATTATTTAATGTGTATGGTTATTAGATAAGTTTGAGCAAACCAGACTGTTGAAGGAAGGCTATTATATTGGAGACTGGTAGGTTAGGTCCGAGGCTATATGTCTTCCGGAAGATGATTGTGTTCCCTTGCATCACAGTAGGTGTTGCACTCGGTCATGATGTGTTTGATCGATAGATTTACACCACAGGATGGGCATATAGGGGGTGCCTCACGAGACATCAGGTACCCATGGGTGAGTTTGGTGTGACCTATTCGGAGTCTATTGATACTGGTTTCTATTTTACGATTTGAGTGGTTGATTGCTTTATCTCATTGAGTTTTGTTCTTTGTGTGGACCAGAGGTTTTGCCAGGATTTTGCTGATATGAGTTTTATTGTGCGTTTGGCATCATGGGCAGAGATGTTTGCGATAATGCTGTTGGGGGTATTTACTGCTGTTTTTTTAGCGAGCGTGTCAGCTTTTTTGTTGCCTTCTATTGATGAGTGTCCTGGAATCCACATTAGTTTTACTACATTTCTTTTGGCTTGGTGGGTAGAGATAGCGAGCTGAATCTTCTTTGATATGTCATTAGGTTATCCAATGTGATGCCCCTGCATATTAAACACCAGGAAAACGTCATGATGCTTGCCATAAAACTTGCTAGAAACAATATGGTATCATCTGTACATTCATGCCCTTCCATACAAGCAATTGTTAACGAAAATAATCTGAACCTCAAAGACATTATAATCTCCCAAACGCCCTTCTTTCCTCCATGGACCTCGATCTCTAATATGATAGACACAAGTATTACCAGTCTGCCTAAAAAGATAACCAGTTCACACATTTATATTCAAGAATTCAAAAACATTTTAGATCAGTACTCCAATTTCATAAAAATTTACACTGACGCATCCAAAACTGAAAGCAACGTGGGAATCGCTATCATATATAATGACGTAGAAGAAATAACATATAAACTTTCAGTAGAATGCTCCATATACACCGCTGAAGCAATCGCTATTCTTAAAGCCCTCGAATATTCACTTGATAAACAAAACAATAACTTTGTCATCCTAAGCACGGATATAGATACTATGGTTGCACAACGAGCACGGATATGACGGCTCTGAATGTTCTTATCAAGAATTTAAAAAAAGTCGCGTGATACTAGCGCCCTCTATGACCTGTTATATCATATACCCGCGATTATATAAATTATAAATATGTTTGTAAAGTTATGGTAACATGGTATAAGAGTTCTTACTGTAGAGGGCGCTAGTAAAACGCGACTTTTCGTCAGATTTGATAAGAACATTCGGCGCCGCTCAACGCTGGGATCCAATATAGGCCGACGTGCAACCATAGTATCTATATCCGTGATCCTAAGCGACTCCCTAAGCTCTATAATAAGTATTGCCAACATTATAAGACTATATTTCTCTATCAATATATACAATAAAAATTATTTTTTCCGTACAGTGTAGCCATAATGTACAATTTAATGAAAAAAAACAACATTATCAAAGTCACCCGTCATTATTAATACGCTGTGTCTAGATACCCGCGGCTTAACAAAACTAAAACCATGAACTAAGATATACAGGACTGGACACAGAGCCTTATCAGCCGGTCAGACAATGTTACGCATTACTCCTTTAAGGCCGGCCGCACACCAAAAGAGCAAAACTGTTTTAGTCATCGTTAGTCATTTTTGTCTTAAGTCAAATAAAACAATTTGTTTTGGTCGGTCGTACACCAAAAGAGCAAAACTGTGTAAGTCATCGTTAGTCGTAAAATTGCAGTATAGTATTTCAGTCACCAACATGTCTTCTGACGAAGAAGAAGTTATTGTTCCTATTTTGTGGTCTTTGTTGTTAAATATCGAAGAGGATGAAAAACAAAACAGAATGTGGGTTCATCCTTTGAATAAAAAACGTACAACAAATAATTTAATCAAATGTTTTTTACGTGAATTACGTAATGATGATTTAAAATTTAAAAATTTTACGAGAGTAAGTCCTGAAACATTTGATTACATTTTGAATATAATTTCTGAAGAAATTCAAAAAGCTGATACTAACTTCAGAAAGAGTATCAAACCGGATGAACAATTATTAGTCACTTTGTGGTAAGTAGAATTTAATTTAATTAGTATCAAATTCAAGCTTTAGAGGAAAAATAATTTTTTTGTAGACTAGTATTATAGGTACATATTACACCTTTATTTTAATGTAATAATCTAAATTATAATTTTATATAATTACTTATGAAATACATTCAACTTATTTATTTTTAAATTATTATATACATCACTTAAAAATTATTTATATGGGAGTTCTTGATATGAGTTTGAACTTTTTGAAGAAGTCAATAATTCTGGACTTTGAGAAAAGAGAAACTGTGTAGTTTGAGGCGTGTTTTGATTTAACTGTTGAGGCTGAATAGTATGCTGTTGATTTGGCTGTACATTGTTTGAATATAATATCGGAAAGTTACTTGGATATATCGGTGTAGCAGCAGATGAAGTTTCTTGTTCATCAAGCAGTTGATCCAATGTACTTAAAACAGCTTTTTTAAATCTACGCTGGTTTTTGTCATTGAGTTTTTTAAAATCTGGTACTTAACTTTTATAAAATAATAATTCTGGTGGATCTTCAATTGGATTGACTTTTGGAGTAGTTTTTGATTTCAAATAGTTGATCATTGGTTCTGCAATCATCTCACTTGTCAGAACTTTTTTAATTTTTTTTGGTTTCTTAATCCCGTGTGAACTTGAACTTTGTTCACTATCTATTTCTTCATCCACATTTACATCTGGGTTCAACTGAAGTGTTACATCATCAGGTTCTTCCTCAAAATTTGGAACTTCAGATTCTTCAACATTTTTATAGGTTGTTTCATCCAAATCATCCGCAGTAAGGTTACTTGTCATAGTTTTATGTTGCAACATTTAATCTTTTAAAAACGCCATGTTATCGTATAAATACCATTTCCTTTTTTTCGTTGCACCGGATCCAGATGTAAATTTCTTTTCCTCACGTAATTGTCTTGAAAACGAATTCCGTAAAGTTGTCCATTTGGTTTTACATTCTGAAACTATAAAGAAAAAAAAGTTGAAGACCTTTTAGTATGTTTTATCTATACTACATTAATATATACTTATAATGAATAAAAAAGTTACACAATATGGGTACGTTTAAAAATTAGAAAAAATGTTTTATACCTATTAATTCAAAATGACCAAACAATTTAATGAATTTAATTTAAAAAAAAAATACTTTGTAATATTAGAAAATTATGTCTAAAACCACAAGTGTGTCACTTTTCCAGAGTTTTGTATTTGTATAAAAAATGATGCACTATTATTTTATTTTAATTTATTCCTCATAATATATGTTACAGTTTTTTAGCGTCTGGTGAACGTTTTCAACGATTGCACTACCATTTTCGTTTGGGAGCTACAACCATTGGAATAATTGTTGATTCTGTATGCTCGGCGATATGGAAATTACTATCTCCTATTTATTTGCCATCGCCGAAAAAAGAAGACTGGATAAAAATAGCAAACGATTTTAATGAAATATGGAATTTTCCAAATTGTGTTTGTGCAATTGATGGTAAACATATTTCTATTATTTGTCCTCCTGGTGCCGGTTCGGAGTATTACAATTATAAGGGCTATCATTCAATTGTACTACAAGCGGTAGTCGATGCTCACGCAAAGTTTGTTGTAATAGACGTTGGTGATTATGGTCGATCTAGTGACAGTGGGATTTTTAAAGAATCTTTATTTGGTAAAAAATTAATTAATAATAAATTAAATTTGCCTGCACCAAAAAAAATTGACCAGAATATAAACGAAGACTTC